GTGAGTCTCATGCCTCATCCTCCTGAGTAGTTGGGATTACAGGCATGTGCCACACACCCAGCTAATTATTGTATTTTTAGTAGAGATGGGGTTTCATTATGTGGGCCAGGCTGGTCTCAAACTCCTGACCTCAGATAATCCACCCACCTCGGCCTTCCAAAGTGCTGGGATTACAGGCGTGAGCCATGGTGCGTGGCCTCAAGTATGTATACACACACACACACACACTTTTTTTTTTTTTTTTTTGAGATGGGAGTCTCACTCTGTCACCAGGCTGGAGTGCAGTGGTGTGATCTCAGCTCACTGCAACCTCTGCTTCCTGGGTTCAAGCGATTCTCCTGCCTCAACCTCCTGAGGAGGTTGGGACTACAGGCATACGCCACCACACCCAGCTAATTTTTATATTTTTAGTAGAGACAGGGTTTCACCATGTTGGTCAGGATAGTCTCAATCTCTTGACCTTGTGATCTGCCCACCTCGGCCTCCCAAAGTTCTGGGATTATAGGCATGAGCCATTATGCCCAGCCCTATTTTTTTTTTTAATAGAGACAGGGTTTCTCCATGTTGGTCAGACTGGTCTTGAACTCCTGACCTCAGGTGAGCCACCGGCCTCGGCCTCCCAAAGTGCTGAGATTACAGGCTTGAGCCACCATGCCTGGCCTTTTTTTTTTGAGATGGAGTTTCACTCTCGTTACCCAGGGTGGAGTTCAATGGCATGATCTCAGCTCACTGCAATCTCTACCTCCTGGGTTCAAGCCATTCTCCTGCCTCAGCTTCTGGAGTAGCTGAGATTATAGGCATGTGTCACCACGCCCAGCTAATTATTATTTTTAGTAGAGACGGGGTTTCTCCATGTTGGCAAGGCTGGTCTCGAACTCCTGACTTCAGGTGATCTGCTTGCCTCAGCCTCCTAAAGTGCTAGAATTAAAGGTATGAGCCACGGCCTGGCCTCAAGTATATATTTTTAACTATAGTCACCACAGAGTATAATAGATCTCCTGAATTTATTCCTCCTATCTAACTGAAATTTTGTATCCTTGGGCCAATATCTTCCAATTCCTTCTCCCTCAACCCCTGGTAACCACCATTCTGCTACTTCTACAAGTCTGACTTTTTAGATGCCACACATTAGTGAGATTAAGCAGTATTTGTCTTTCTGTGTCTGGCTTATTTTACTTAGCATAATGTCCTCCAGGTTCATCTATGTTGTTACAAATGACAGAATTTCACTATTTTTTAAGGCTGAACAGTATTCTATTGTGTGTACATATATATCGCATTTTCTTTATTCATTCATCCATTGGTGGACATGTAGGTTGTTTCCATGTCTTGGTTATCATAAATAACGCTGCAATGGATATGGGAGCACAGATACTGTGACATGCACATTTCATTTCCTTTGGCTATATACCCAGAAGTAGATTATTGGATCATATGGAATTCTAGTTAAACACATTATTTATTTATTTATTTAAAAATTTCTTTTACGTCTTTTAAAAAAAATTTTTAAAAATTACAAATCAACAAAAATTTCTTACCAGGTTATATATAACTATTTAAAAATTTTTAAGGAGGCTGGGTACAGTGCCTCAAGCCTGTAATCCCAGCACTCTGGGAGGCTGAGATGGGTGAATCACCTGAGGTCAGGAGTTTGAGACCAGCCTGACCAACATGGAGAAATCCCACCTCTACTAAATATACAAAATTAGCCAGACATGGTGGTGCGTGCCTGTAATCCCAGCTACTTGGGAGGCTGAGGCAGGACTATGGCTTGAACCCAGGAGGCGGAGGCTGTGGTGAGCCAAGACCATAGCACTGCCCTCCAGCCTGGGCAACAAGAGTGAAACTCTGTCTCAAAAAAAAAATTTTTTTAAGGAACCTCCATACTGTTTCCAAAATGGCTGTACTAATTTATATTCCCACTGAGTGTATAAGGTTTTTCTCCACATCCTTGCCAATACTTTCTCACTTCTTGGTAATAATCATTCTGACAGGTATGAGGTGATATATCATGGTAGTTTTAATTTAAATTTCCCTGATGATTAGTGATGTTGAACATTTTTTTTCACATACTAATTAGCTATTTGCATGTCTTCTTCTTCTTTTTTTTTTTTTTTTTTTTTTTTGAGACAGAGTCTTGCTCTGTTGCCCAGGCTGGAGTGTAATGGCGCAATCTCGGCTCACTGCGACCTCCACCTCCTGGGTTCAAGTGAAGCTTCTGCCTCAGCCTCCTGAGTAGCTAGGATCATAGGCACCCGCCACCATGCCCAGCTAATTTTTGTATTTTTAGTAGAGATGGGGTTTTACCAGGTTGGCCTGGCTGGTCTCAAACTCCTGACCTTAGGTGATCCACCCACCTCAGCCTCCCATGCTATTTGCATCTCTTCTTTTGAGAAATGTCTTTTCAGGCCCTTGCACACTTATCTGATGTAGGGGTCTGAATATTTTCTCCCATTCTGTAGGTCGTCTCCTCACCTTTTTTTTTTTAAATTCAGACAAGGTCTCACTCTGTTGCCCAGGCTGGAGTGCACAATCATGTCTCACTACAAACTCAGCTGTCTGAGCTCAAGTGATTCTACTACCTCAGCCTCCCGAGTAGCTGGGACCACAGATGCGTACTACCATGGCCAGCTAATTTTTTGATTGTTTTGTAGAGATCAACTCTCATTGTCATCCAGGTTAGCCTCGAACTCCTGAGCTCAAGCAATCTTCCCACCTAGGACTCTCAAAGTGTCGGAATTACAGGCATGAGCCACCGCACCAGGCCAGAAACTCTACTTTTGATTCTAACCATAGCAGCTTATCAGCTGAGGACAAACTGTTGGGATATTTTGGTCTCAGTCAATGGCAGCCAGGTTATAAGCCTAACAAAATACAAGCTTCCTTGTTGGGTTCCTAGTACAAAAGTCAACATTTTCAGTTAATTAAGGATGAAAGGGCATGAGGATTTTGCTATTAGTTTGTCCTAAAGGTCAATCTTAAAAAATACTGGTTCTAATCCGGGCGTGGTGGCTTATGCCTGTAATCCCAGCACTCTAGGAGGCTGAGGTGGGCAGATCACGAGGTCAGAACTTCAAGACCAGCCTGGCCAAGATGGTGAAACCCCATCTCTACCAAAAATATAAAAATTAGCCAGGCATGGTAGCAGGCACCTGTAATCGCAGCTATTCGGGAGGCTGAGGCAGGAGAATTGCTTGAATCCAGGAGGCAGAGGTTGCAGTGAGCTGAGATTGCGCCACTGCACTCCAGCCTGGCGACAGACTGAGACTGTCTCAAAAAAAAACCTGGTTCGATATGGATTTGGATATTATTAATATAAAATTCTGGCTTTTTTTTTTTTTTTAAATTCTGGCTTAAAGAGGACAAAAGGTGTTTTTTCAGAGATACTTAGTGAGGAAACAAGGCACTTAGTCATCTTTGCTATGACAGGTTAAATACAAGGTATCCTGAAAACAGGTAAGAGGGCCACTTAACTCAGCCATTGCAGGGTGAGGGGAAGTGTTCCTAAGAAAGTGATGTCTAAGTGAGATAGGTGGTACCTTGGCAAAGAAAAAAATCCTGGGGTTAAGAGTGCATAAGAGAAATGAAGGTATGTCTGCCTGGCTGGCAAATGGAGCCTAAGATGGGGCAGTAATGATAAAGATATAGGAAGACACTAGATCTTGAAGGGCCTTCTAAAAAGAATGACAATACAAATGGAGAAACTACTGAGAGTGAAACCAAACAATATTAATACTTATGTAGGGACAACAGACATAAACCAGGCTATTCTCAGCAAATCAGAAATTATGGTCACCCTACTTGTAAGTCACATTCACGTGCTTGGACTTTCAGTGACAGCAAAGAGTAGGTATCTTCTAAATTTTAAGTGACCTCATTCTTACTTTTGCCTTTACTTGCTCATTTCACGAATTTGTACTATGCATATACCAAAAAAGAATGAAAGAATTCACACAGGCAGAAAGTATAAATGAATTTTTAAAAAGGTTGGGCAAATTTATCAAAGGCAGTCTTCGAAATAGATGTACCAGTTATACGATTTAGATAAACCACGGTTTGAATCCCCTTCCCCAGTACTCTAGCGGTGTGATCCCAAGTTACTTATGTGTCAGTGCCTAGATTTCTTCACCTGGAAAATGGGGATAACAACAGGTTCCTACCTCAGAAGTTTTAAATGAGACCGTATGTGTCTCATTGCTTTGTGCAATGTCACGCATGCAATAAGTACTCGACGACTGGTAGCTATTAGAATCATCATTAACAGCAGTAATAAGAGATGTTGGGACATACCTAGCCCTCAAGATTGACATCAGAGTAGACCACCACATCCTCTCATCATTGCGCCTCAATTTGGGCCTCTGAAGACCAAAGAGGGGATGGTTCTTTCCAAAGAAGACAATTTCGACGTTCCAGAAGCATCGGATCAAAACGCACCCTCTTCACCCCTTAAAATCAGTCTAGTTCATCCACGAGCAGCCCTTCAGGGCCCGGACTGGAGAGGCAACCACGGCTCGCCGTCCCTGGGCCTAGTTCCCTCAGCCTCAATTTCCCTTGCTGCAACAGGGGTGGGGGTGGGGATGTTATCCCCAAACCCAGGCAGTCCCGGCTGAGCCCGCCTCACCGCACTCCGGAGGGGACCAAACGGCCCCACGCGCGGGGAAGCCTCTGGTGACGGGCCACGCGCCCCAAGGGCAAAGTGATTAGTGGTCGGGCTCAAAAGTCAGTCAAGCAGCTCAGCCCCATCCTCCCAGTTCTCAGGCACTGAGACAGCAGCGGACGCGCGGCGGGGGCGGGGAAAAGGCCAAGGGGGCGGTGACAGGGGCGCGGCACCTGGTGGGGCCTCCATGGCCGAGGGGCGGAGGCGGCGGGCGCGTGGCAAGCGGCGAGCTCGCGACCGCGCCGCCCGGGGGCGCGCACGCAAAGCCCGGAGGCGCGCGCGACTGGCGGCTCTTTGGCGCGGAACGGGGGAACGCGGCGAGGTGAGAAGCTAGGCTGTGCAGGGAGGGCAGGTGGCGGGGCGCGAGCCCCGCTAGCGGGACTAGGAGGAAGCGGGGGTCGCGAGGTGCCGCGTGGGAGGAGGCGCGGGCTGCAGGCCCAGAAGGCGGGCGGAACGCGGCTGGCTGATGGGCGGGCGGCGCCGGGCCACGCCGCGCTGTGGGGGAGGGCGGTGCGGGGCCGGGCCTGGCTAGTCCCGCCAGCCCAGCGTCTGAGCAGCGCCGCTGTTCCCCAACCCCGCCGATCCCAGCTCAGCCCTGGAGCGAGTTGCTTTATCAAGAACGGCCACTGTGCGTGATCCCCTGACCAGCGTTACCCATTGAATTTCCTAGTGGGCCCTCCAAAGTAGGTATTTCAGCACCCTGTTAGAGCTGAGGCGCAGGTAAAGTGACCCAGGTAGGTCCCGCTGATAAGAACTCTGTAAGGATTTGAACCTTGCCTCCACAACTCCGGAGCCTGCGCCTTTCCTCCTCCCCGCGTGGACTCCTGCCCGGCACAGTGCTTCACATCCTTCTCCGGTGACTAATTCGAATTTGGCGACTCTTAGTTTGTAGCTAGCGTCAGTGCTTCCTTGGAGGCTGGTGTCAGAATGTGGTCTCTTGTGAAAGGAGGGAAAAAAAGATTTTGTAGACTGCAACATTGTGCTTTTTCGCCCCCCTCCCTTTTTTTTTTTAAACCTAGGCTGGAGTGCAGTGGCGCCATCCAGGCTCACTGCAGCCTCCGCCTCCCGGGCTCAAGTGATTCTCAGGTGTGGACCACCACCACGCCCAACTAAGTTTTGTATTTTCAGTAGAGACAGGGTTTCACCTTGTTGGCCAGGCTGGTCTCGAACTCCTGTCTCTGCCAACCAAAGTGCTGGAATTACACACGTGAGCCATTGCGCCCAGCCCTACTTTTTGTTTTGTTTTTTGGGGGATGGAGTTCAGCCCAGGCGGGAGTGTAACGGCGCCATCTCAGCTCACTGCAACCTCTGCCTCCCGGATTCAAGCGATTCTCTTGCCTCAGCATCAATCTCCCGAGTAGCTGGGATTACAGGTGCCCGCCACCACGCCCGGCTGTTTTTTGTATTTTCAGCAGAGATGGGGTTTCACCCTCTTGGCCAGGCTGGTCTTGAACTCCTGACCTCAGGTGATCCGCCCACCTGGGCCTCCCAAAGTTCTGGGATTACAGGTTTGAGCCACCACGCCCGGCCTCCTGCTGTGCTTTTTTGAGTGTTGATCAGTCTGTAATAACTGTGCATCCTTTACTGGACATCTGGGGGTTTTTTTTGTTTGTTTTGTTTTGTTTCTTTGAGACTGAATTTCACTCTTGTTGCCTAGGCTGGAGTGCAGTGGTGCCATCTCGGCTCACCGCAGCAACCTCCGCCTCCCGGGGTAAAGTGATTCTCCTGCCTCAGCCTCCTGAGTAGCTGGGATTACAGGCATGCATCACCACACCCGGCTAATTTTGTATTTTTGGTAGAGACGGTTTATCCATGTTGGTCAGGCTGGTCTCGAACTCCTGACCTCAGATGATCGCCCACCTCAGCCTTCCAAAGTGTTGGAATTACAGGCGTGAGCCACCACATCTGGCCTGGACAGCCAGGTACCCATGGCCTGGTACCCACAGATAACTACCAAATGGAAAAAGTTTAGTAAATGTTGACTGTTGCTTGATTGCTGCGTTCGTTCGTAGTACACCTTTGATAGAGTGATTTGTCTTCAGAGCTCAACATTTCTTGAGACGATAGCAAAGGGGGACCTACCCCACCTCAAAAAGGAAAAGTTCTTCGACAGCAGCGTTAGCGGATGTTGCCTATGCTTAGTGATGAATTATTCTCCAAGCTAAAAATTACCAGGGTAAAAAAAATCCCTCGGGAAAAACTAAAGATGAAATAACCTTTTGTAGAACTAACATTTATTGTCCACTGCTATATGTTTATTGTATTCCTCCTGTATTCTTGGCATTTTAAAAGCATACAAATATGTGTCCAGTATATTCTCTGCTTTCACTTATTTACATTTTTGAGACAGAGTCTTGCACTGTCACCCAGGCTGGAGTGCAGTGGTGTGATCTTGGCTCACCGCAACCTCCACCTCTTGGGTTCAAGCAACTCTGATGCTTTAGCTTCCTGAGTAGCTGGGATTACAGGCGCCCACCACCCTGCCTGGCTAATTTTTTTGTATTATTGGTGGAGATGGGAGTCTCACTGTGTTGTCCAGGCTGGTCTGAAACTCCTCACCTTAGGAGATTCATACCTGCCTCAGCCTCCCCAAGTGCTGGAGTTGTCGATGTGAGCCACCACACCCAGCCTGCTTTCACTTAATTTAGAAGTGGGGGAAAATAAACATTCAGAAGTAAGCCTAACAGAGTAGAATGTGAAAAATGCCAGATAAAAAGCTGTGAGTGGGCCAGGCACAGTGGCTCACACCTATAATCCAAGCACTTTGGGAGGCTGAGGTGGGCAGATTGATTACCTGAGGTCAGGAGTTTGAGACCAGCGTGGCCAATATGGTGAAATCCTGTCTCTACTAAAAATACAAAAATTAGCCGGGTGTGATGGCAGGTGCCTGTAATCCCAGCTACTGGGGAGGCTGAGGCAGGAGAATCACTTGAACATGGAGGCAGAGGTCACAGTGACCCGAGATAATGCCGTTGCACTGCAGCCTGGGCAGGACAAGAGCGAGACTCCATCTCAAAAAAAAAAAAAAAAAAAAAGGTGTGAGTGTACAGAAGAAAGGTTATTTCTTGACTTAGTGTAAAATGTTATTTCCACCTGTAATCCCAGCACTTTGGGAGGCCAAGGTGGGCGGATCACTGAGGTCAGGAGTTTAAGATCAGCCTGGACAATATGGTGGAACCCTGTCTCTATTAAAAATACAAAGATTAGTTGGGCGTGGTGGCAGGCACCTGTAATCCCAGCTGCTTGGGAGGCTGAGGCAGGAGAATCACTTGAACCTGGGATGTGAAGGTTGCAGTGAGCTGAGATAGCCCCACTGCACTCCAGCCTGGCGACAGAGCAAGACTCTGTCTCAAAAAAACAAAACAAAACAAAACAAAAAAAACACCTTTGGGTCAGGAATGTTAGCTCACACCTGCAATCCAAGCACTGCAGCACTTTGGGAGGCGGGAGTAGGTGGATCACTTGAGGCTGGGAGTTTGAGACCAGCCTGGCCAACACAGTGAAACCCCTCTCCTAAAAATACAAAAAAAATTAGCCAGGTGTGGTGGTGGCACATGCTTGTAATCCCAGCTGCTCAGGAGGCTGGGGCACAAGACATGAGAATAAAAAATGAGAACCAAGTGGAGAATGAGAATCCCTTGAACCTGGGAGGCAGAGATTGCAGTGAGCCCTCCAGCCTGGGCAACAGAGCCAGACTTTGTCTCAAAAAAAAAAGACTGTACATTCCAGTCTCTGTCCTCCAAGCTGGAGTGCAGTGGTGGCTCACTGTACCCTCAGCCTCTCAGGCCCAGGCAGCCCACCTTAGCCTTCTGAGTAGCTGGGACAATAGGGATGGGCCTGCCTGGCTAACTTTTTATTTTAATAGATGGGGTCTCCCCATGTTGCCCAGACTGGTCTCAAACTTCTAGGCCCAAGTGATCCTCCTACCTCAGCCTCCCAGAGAGCTGGGATTACAGGCGTGAGCCACTGTGCCTGGACCTGTTATGTACTTGTTGAAAGAGTAAGGAACAAATGTATATTGTAATAGATAGGATTTTTTGGTTTCCAGTTACAGAAACTCATTCAGATTTAATATTAAGTTGAGTTTATTAAAGATAGAGAAATGAGAGAAGAGTTAAACAGTTGGGCCACCTGGGCTAGGGATCTCAATCCCCAGAGCTCATGGACTGAATTCTTTGAAAGAATTCTGGTGAATGAGCTCCAACTGCCTTCTGTCATTTGATGTATTACTCAAGATCCAGAAAGAGACCTGGTTGCTTTATTTAGCTTTTGTCAGGAATGGGAAATGGGGTATTGTGATTGGCAGCCCCACCAGTACCACATGAAATATGGGAGGGTCAGTTTCCCAATGGAAAGAGGGTGGCTAAGGAGAGAAGTGATGCTGAGCAGAGAAAGCTGACAGCTGTTCATTAGAAATATGTAGCATTTGCTCCTCCCACCTTCCTTGCCCTGCAGACCCAGATCCTTCCTCATAAAAAAGAAAAAGAAAGAAATAGGCCGGGCGTGGTGGCTCAGGCCTGTAGTCCCAGCACTTTGGGGCCAAGGTGGGTGGATCATGAGGTCAGGAGATTGAGAACATCCTGGCCAACATGGTGAAACCCTGTCTCTACTAAAAATGTAAAAATTAGCTGGGCGTGGTGGTGTGAGCCTGTAGTCCCAGCCACTTCGGAGGCTGAGGTAGGAGAATTGCTTCAACCTGGGAGGTGGAGGTTGCAGTGAGCCGAGATCGTGCCACTGTACTGCACTCCAGTCTGGCAATAGAGCAAGACCTCGTCTCAAAAAAATAAATAAGTAAAGAAATATGTAGTATTTATAGAGGACCAGGTACTATACTACGTTAACTATATGGATTGTGATATCTGAGGATGACATTTAATAATTTCTCACAACTCTGGAAGGTAGACACTATTATACCCACTTTAAAGAGGAAGAAACAGGTTTTTAGAGGTAAAATAATTTTTCAGCATTACATAGCTAAGATGTGGCAGGACTGAGTATGTTGCATATCTTTTCTTTATCTGGTCCCTTTGAGTGATTTTCTGATCCATGTGCCACTTTTGTTTGTTCATAAGGAGTCATCAAGTTTGGTGTATGTGTCGGCTGGTTCTGAAGTCTTGAAGCTCTGCACTGAGGAAGACCAAAGTAGCACTTGTTGCCAATTAGGGAATGGACCGATTGGGTTCCTTTAGCAGTAAGTATGGTGGGAACAAGTCTCACGTGATTTCTCTCTCTTTTTTTTTTTTTTGAGACAGAGTCTCACTCTGTTGCCCAGGCTGGAATGCAATGGTATGATCTCAGCTCACTGCACCCTCCGCCTCCCAGGTTCAAACGATTCTCCTGTCTCAGCCTTCTGAGTAGCTGGGAATATAGGTGCATACTACCACACCTGGCTAATTTTTTTTTTCTGTATTTTTAGTAGAGATGGGGTTTCACCATGTTGGCCAGGCTGGTCTTGAACTCCCAACCTCAGGTGATCTGGCCGCCTCTGCCTCCCAGAGTGCTTGGATTATAGGCATGAGCCACTATACCCAGCCTTCAGGTGATTATTAATAGCAAACTGGAGTAGAAGTTGGTCAAGAAAGAAAAATAAACAATGAAGTTAGGCAGTAAAGCCCTGTGACTCTGATTCTAAGGGAATTCTGAGTATCGAATTAAAATAAAATGAACTAATACGCATTGATTACCCATTGAACACATGACACAAACATATGATTCTGGGTCTTAGAAGAAAATGAAGCTGAGATGGATCAGGCATAGTCTGATTAACCTGTAGTTAGACCTAGAAAAGCTATGGGATTTCTGTTTAGACCAATAACATGTTTCAGTTACCTTGATCAGAAATGTGTCAGTTGTAAGATAAAGGAAATAGCCTCTCCTTTGATGTGGAACTTATTTCTAAGAGTAAACCATCGTAGAATAATGGAGAGAATTATGGGGTATGTGTGAAGTAAATTCAAGTAGCCATAACTATGGATACAAAAATTATACTGCTCTTTTTCTCCAATTCTGAATATATGAGATTTGACAGAAATAGAAATTCAATTGTTAGATGTTTAGTAGTATCCACATGAGAAGAATCAGAAAAGTACTTTTTGGGTGTTGTTTTGTCTTTAACAATTTCTTAAAGGAGCTCTAATTTATTCTTTAATCACATTCCTAATAGAAATTTAGGAGAGAATGGAGTCCTCAGACACATCTAGTTCAACTCTTTCATTTTACGCATGGAGAAATCTAAATGGACTGCTCCAATGCTGGGAGTATAAAATGAAACTATTCCCCTCAACTCCTTTTCAAAAATTATTGTTAAACTTCTTTTTGGAAATAATTTCAAACTTAAAGAAGTTTCAAGAATAAGAATACAAAGAATACCCATGTGCCTTTTGTTAACCTTTTACTCCATCTGCTTTGCCATTTGCATGCACTCACTCTCTGTGCGTGTATGTGTGTGTATGTGTATATATATTTTTTAAAAAACCTTATTTATTTATTTATTTATTTTATTTATTTTTTGAAACGGAGTTTCGCTCTTGTTACCCAGGCTGGAGGGCAATGGCGCGACCTCGGCTCACCACAACCTCTGCCTCCTGGGTTCAGGCAATTCTCCTGCCTCAGTGTCCTGAGTAGCTGGGATTACAGGCACACGACACTGTGCCCAGCTAATTTTTTTTGCATTTTTAGTAGAGACGGGGTTTCACCGTGTTGACCAGGATGGTCTTGATCTCTTGACCTCGTGATTCACCCTCCTGGGCCTCCCAAAGTGCCGGGATTACAGGCTTGAGCCACCACACCTGGCCTTTTTTTTTTTATTTTTAATAGATGTGGTCTCACTCTATCACCCAGCCTGGAGTACAGTGGCACAGTCATAGCCCACTGCAGCTATATTTTCCAAAGTGCCTGGGCTCAAGTGATGTCCCCACCTTGGCCTCCCAGTGTGTTGGGATTATAGGCATAAGCCACCATGCCTAGCCCAGTCTTTACTATTTTGGTTGCAAAAAGATGATTTTTTTCCCCCCAAAATCTAATGCTCTCTCCACATTTACTAGTTAGCATTTTTAGCTTTTATTTTAGGAGCGGGGTACATGTGCAGGGTTGTTATATAGGTAAACTGCTTGTCCCAGAGCTTTTGTGTACAAATTATTTCATCACTGAGATAATAAGCATAGCACTGGAGAGGTAGTTTTTGGATCCTCTTCCTCCTCCCCCTTCACCCTCAAGTAGGCCCTGGTGTCTGTTCCCCTCTTTTTGTCCATGTATTCTTGGTTTTTTTTTTAAGCTCCTACTTGTAAGTGATAATGGGGTATTTTGTTTTGTTTTCCTGCATTAGTTTGTTTAGGATAATGACCTCCAGCTCCATCTATGTTGCTGCAAAGGACATGATCTGATTCCTCTTTTTTTTTAAATTTTTTTTTTATTTTTAAGGCTAGTCAAGTGAAGCAGTGGGAGTGGAGAAGGAACAAAGAAATCCATAACTGGTTGTGATCAATTAGTTGTAAACACCACTGCACTCGGACCAGCTCTCTTTTTTTTTTTTAAATGAAGATGGGGTTTCACCATTTTGGCCAGACTGGTTGTGAACTCCTGACCTCAGGTGATCCACCCACTTCAGTCTCCCAAAGTGCTAGGATTACAGGCATGAGCCACTGTGCCCAGCCTGTCTGTTCACTTTTTTTTTTTTTTTTTTTTTTTTAATGACAAAGCCAGGTTTATTACTCTGGGTTAAACCTGTGGAGGCAGGACCTGGGAAGGAGCATGGGGACAGTTCTCAGTATGCTAAGATCTGCTCATCACCTGCCCATGGGCCAGGTCCTCACTGAAGTTCTAGGTGAGGCCCAGAGCTGGGGGACAGGGTCCTCTTCCTGAGACTGCAGCTTGTGGGATCAATGTCCCATTGTGGAGATGAGGGTAGGGTGTTGGCCTGCACTGGGCCAGCGTCCTCAGGAAGGTGCCTTGTTGGAGGAGGTGGTGGCAGCTGCCCTGTTCTTCTTGGCCGGGGCCTTCAGCAGTGCCAGCTTCTTGGGCAGGCGGCTGCTGGCTTTCATCATCACATCATGTTCGATCTTCTGGATCCCAACTTCTAGGTTCTTCTTGAGCTTCTGCTGCTGCACGACACGCGCCTTCTTGGGAGCGATAACAGACCGCCTTTCCTTGGGCCCCGATTCTTTTCAGAGGCCGCCGCTGCCGTCTTGCTCTTTGCTGGCTTGTGAGTCTGGAACTTGCGCTGTCCTTGTGCCATGTTCTGGCATGCAGCGGAAGAGGCCCTGTTCACTTTTTTTACTTATTTATTAGTATGGAGACAGGAATTCCTATTTTTTCAATGATTTATGATTTATTAGCATATTTAACTAGCTAGGTTCTTGTTTATTCCAAATTTGGCCACTGGGAATCCCTTCAAATGGGTTCCTACATCCTTGTAACATACCCTCATTATATTATTTTTCTTTTTAGCATCTCCATACTTTTTGGCATAACAAATACTCCAAATGCATCCTATACCTCCCCTGCCTTGGAATCCATACCTGAGGAGTTCTGGTACTTTTACAAGGGAGTAACATCAGAGGCCAGGATCTTTTCATCTGCTAGAATATTTTTGCATCTTGGCCCTTTTGGTTGACAGAACTAAGAAATATATGCATGTTAGGTGCTATATACATATATGCCAGTATCTGTACACTCATACACATTTATATACACATATACTTCTTTTTAGGACATCTTGAGTTCACATTGATACCTCTAATTTGTCATCATAGGCTTCTCTCTTAATTCCTTATTCATATGTCTCAGTGAGAAACCTGCCTCTCAGCATCAACGCAATTAATTCTAGAATCCCCTGCCCTCAACCCCTTGTACTTACCCAACTTCATTGTTTTGTCCTTTAATTCCTTTTGCAAAGATCAGAGGATTTTCTTTTTTTTAAATTTAATATTCTTTAGCAAATATATTCTGTCATACAGAGGACCTTTTTTTTACTCTTACTTTCTTTTTCTTTTTCCCTCTTTTTTTTTTTTGTCTCCCAGGCTGGAGTGCAACGACACAATCTCAGCTCACCACAACTTCTGCCTCCTGAGTTCAAGCAATTCTCCTGCCTCAGCCTCCCAAGTAGCTGGGATTACAGGGATACACCACCACGCCCAGCTAATTTTGCATTTTTAGTAGAGACGGGGTTTCTCCATGTTGGCCAGGCTGGTCTTGAACTCCTGATCTCAGGTAATACACCTGCCTCGGCCTCCCAGAGCGCTGGGATTATAGGCATGAGCCACCACGCTTGGCCTCTAATTTCTTAAGAAAGATAATGTGCCATATATATATATATATATAATATATATATGTTCTTTTTTGCACTTTTAAAAAAAAATTCTTCAATAAGCACCAGGATTGTACTTTTTTTTCCCCCACTTAATAGTATCGCCTGGAAATACTGTATTAGTTGGTAGAGATTGTCGTCATTCTGTTTTTTGGTTTTTTTTTTGAGACGGAGTTTCGCTCTTGTCACCCAGGCTGGAGTGCAATGGCGCGATCTCAGCTCACCACAACCTCCGCCTCCTGGGTTCAGGCAATTCTCCTGACTCAGCCTCCTGAGTAGCTGGGATTACAGGCACGTGCCACCATGCCCAGCTAATTTTTTTGTATTTCTGGTAGAGACGGGGTTTCACTATGTTGACCAGGATGGTCTCGATCTCTTGACCTTGTGATCTACCCGCCTGGGCCTCCCAAAGTGCTGGGATTACAGGCTTGAGCCACCGTGCCCAGCTCATTCTGTTTTTTATAATTGCATAATACTTCATTGTGTGGACATAGTGTCATTCAAATAATTGCTTATACTTGGATATCTAAGTGCTATTTTGCAATTACATCTAATATTTTAATATATAACCTTGAACATGTGTATTTTTGTATTAGTGCAAATGTATATTCCTGGTAAAAAAATTCCTAGAAGTGAGATTGGTGGTTCAAAAGATAATTGCCCTCTATGTGAGTTGTACTATTTTGTATTCCCACAAGTGATATATAAGAGTGTCTTTTTTGGCTGGGTGTGGTGGCTCATGTCTGTAATCCCAGCACTTTGGGAGGCTAGGACAGGCTTATCATGAGGTCAGGAGTTCGAGTCCGGCCTGACCAACATGGTGAAACCCTGTCTCTACTAAAAATACAAAAATTATCCGGGCGTGGTGCAGGAGAATTGCTTGAACC